CATCGCCATTAGTTCCCAACCATCCTGTCATCATCACCACCAGCATCATCATCGTCATCACCACCAGCATCATCATCATCATCATCATCATCATCATCATCATCATCATCATCATCATCATCATCATCATCATCACCATCATCATCATCATCATCATCATCATCAGCATCATCATCATCATCATCATCATCATCGCCATCGCCATTAGTTCCCATTTCCGCACACCCCTCACACGTTTCGTGGCCCCATAGGGAGCTCCACCGAAGGCCCCAGTGGCAGGGTTCGCATGCCGCCCCCACCCCACTTTGGCACACCCCTCACACGTTTCGTGGCCCCATAGGTAGCTCCACCGAAGGCCCCAGTGGCAGGGTTCGCATGCCGCCCCCACCCCACTTTGGCACACCCCTCACACGTTTCGTGGCCCCATAGGTAGCTCCACCGAAGGCCCCAGTGGCAGGGTTCGCATGCCGCCCCCACCTCACTTTGGCACACCCCTCACACGTTTCGTGGCCCCACAGGGAGCTCCACCGACGGCCCCAGTGGCAGGGTTCGCATGCCGCCCCCACCCCACTTTGGCACACCCCTCACGCATTTCGTGGCCCCATAGGTAGCTCCACCGAAGGCCCCAGTGGCAGGGTTCGCATGCCGCCCCCACCTCACTTTGGCACACCCCTCACGCGTTTCGTGGCCCCATAGGTAGCTCCACCGAAGGCCCCAGTGGCAGGGTTCGCATGCCGCCCCCGCCCCACTTTGGCACACCCCTCACACGTTTCGTGGCCTCATAGGGAGCTCCACCGAAGGCCCCAGTGGCAGGGTTCGCATGCCGCCCCCATCTCACTTTGGCACACCCCTCACACGTTTCGTGGCCCCATAGGGAGCTCCACCGACGGCCCCAGTGGCAGGGTTCGCATGCCGCCCCCACCCCACTTTGGCACACCCCTCACGCATTTCGTGGCCCCATAGGGTGCTCTACCGAAGGCCCCCGTGGCAGGGTTCGCATGCCGCCCCCACCCACTTTTGCACACCCCTCACACGTTTCGTGGCCCCATTGGGAGTTCCACCGACGGCCCCAGTGGCAGGGTTCGCATGCGTCCGCGCCACCCATGTCGACACACCCTTGACACGTTTCGTGGCCCCATAATGAGCTCCACCGAAGGCCCCAGTGGCAGAGTTGGCATGCCGCCCCTCGCCCATTTCGGCCCACCCCTCACACGCTTCGTGGCCCCATAGGGAGCTCCACCGAAGGGGCCCCAGTGGTTGCGTTCGCATGCGTCCCCACCACCCATTTCGGCACACCCCTCATACGTTTCGTGGCCCCATAGGGAGCTCCACCGAAGGCCCCAGTGGCTCCCCACCACCCATTTCGGCACACCCCTCACACGTTTCGTGGCCCCATAGGGAGCTCCACCGAAGGCCCCAGTGGCTGCGTCCGCATGCCTCCCCACCACCCATTTCGGCACACCCTTCACACGTTTCGTGGCCCCATAGCGAGCTCCACCGAAGGCCCCAGTGGCAGGGTCCGCATGCCTCCCCACCACCCATTTCGGCACACCCTTCACACGTTTCGTGGCCCCATAGCGAGCTCCACCGAAGGCCCCAGTGGCGCGGTGCCTATGAGAAGAGGGGCCTAGTTTGCGTGCCCCCTCCTTCGTCTCATATCCGTGCGGTACTCGCAGCTGCATATGGTTGGGTCCTTCGCTAGGCTAATTTTTCTCGGCACATCCTTCACGAGGATCGTGGCCCCGAGCTCCATCGAAGGCCCCAGTGGCAAATTTCGCATGCGTTCCGCCGCCCATTTCGGCACACCCCTCACGAGGATCGTGGCCCCATAGGGAGCTCCACCGAAGGCCCCAGTGGCAAAGTTCGCATGCGTCCCCCCGCCCATTTCGGCACACCCCTCACGAGGATCGTGGCCCCATAGGGAGCTCCACCGAAGGCCCCGTTGGCAAAGTTCGCGTGCGTCCCCCCGCCCATTTCGGCACACCCCTCACGAGGATCGTGGCCCCATGGGGAGCTCCACCGAGAGCGGTACCCACAACGCGGTACTCACAGCTGCATATGGTTGGGTCCTTCGCCAGGATCATTTTTTGTTGTTCTCTATCTCTCTCTTTCCCCTGTTACCCTCCCCCTACCCCTCCCCCTTCCTGCGCTTTAGCCGCTTGAGCCGTGGCGGCCCTGTGACTCCCAGGGGGATTCCCCTCCCGACGCACGGGTGACGCACGGGCTACGCATGCGCGACGCACCCCTTGTCGCGAAGGGGGGGGGTCAGCACGCTGGTCGAGATGCTGGGCCTTCACGTCGTCGTCGTCGTCGCCGTCCTCGCCCTCGTCCTCGTCCTCGCCCTCGTCCTCGTTCGTGGTCGTCGTCGTGGTCCCCTCCCCCTCCCTCCCCGCGCCCCCCCGCGAGCCCCAGGGTGCGAGGTAGGCGGGGCCTCGCGCTCCCAGCGGAGCGGCGGCGCGGCGCGTTAGCCGAAAGCCACACCAGGACCACATCGTCGGCTACAACGTGTACTTCGTGAACGCCGACCACGAGAAGATCGGCCAGGTCGATGATGTCCCAACCTACTCAGAGGAGGAGACGGTACCCATACCCTTACCCCCCGCCCGTTTTCCTCTTTTTGGGCTTCCTGGGAGGCTGTTGTCGCCACCCCTGGATTCGCCTCGAAATCCTGGTCAGAACGCACCCCCGGAGAGGTCCGGAGAGTAGCGGTGGAGAGTGGCGGTATCGGTACTTTTTGGTTTCCCCACCTACGTTGGCCTCGACCATCAGAATGAATCTCGAGCCTCAGGAGAGCATCGGTTCTGGAGGGTCTTCACGTGTCGGGCTCCCACACGGCGATGCTCGTTCGGCTTTTCGCCACCGTGTCGGGCAGACGTTGTTTCGATATTTCTCTGGGTGCTCGAAATTATTTCTGGAATGTGATCCTTAAGTGCGATTGGAACAACATGAACCCAGGTGGTGGCGAACGTGCCCAAGTTGGATGACGAAAACAGCACGGCGTCGGAAGCGTGCTGCGTCCCCGACACTTACCAGGTCTGGTCGCAGGACCTGGAGATTCCGTACAAGGCGGTCGAGAGGCGTGAGGATCTGCGCATCATGGTCGTTCCTATTGACACGGATGGTGTCGAGATGCCCGTCGGCATGACTCAGGAGCGAACAGCCCCAAACCATGTTTGTTTTTGGGAGCATGGAGGGCCTATTCGAAGAAGGGGGCACTTGTTTTCGTCCTCACTCCTCTCACTAGGACCCTGGGCGCAGGATATGGAAGCGAGAGATAGAGATAGGGATGGAGACGACAGAAAGACAGAGAGAGAGAGAGAGAGACACACAGAGAAAGAGAGGAAGAGAGAGAGAGAGAGAGAGAAAAACTTTGAGAAAGAGAGAGAGAGAGAGAGAGACTGGGGGAGAGAGAAAGAGAGAGAGAGAGAGAGGGAACGGGAGAGAAAGAGAAATTGATCGACAGAGCGAGAGAGAGAGAGAGCGAGAGGTATGGTTATGTGTGTATATATACATATATTTATATATAGAGACATCTATGTAGAGAGAGAGAGAGAGAGAGATCAGAGAGAGAGAGAGAGAGAGAGAGAGCGAGAAAAACGAGATAGAGACAGCGAGAGTGAGATACAGAGAGGGAGAGGGACACGTATACAGCGAGAGGGCGAGAGCGCGAGCGAGAGAGAGAGAGAGAGAGGCAGAGAGAGCAAGACAGAGGGGGGGCAATCTACATGAAAGAGAAAGATGTAGCGAGCGAGAGAGATAGAGAGAGACAGACAGATAAAGAGAGAGACAGAGAGCGAGAACAACGGAGAGACTCCAGGGAGGTCTGGGGGAGGGATGAGCATCCGTTCTTTTCGTCCCTACTCTTCTGCCCTTGTTCCTCCCCTGCTCCTACCCTGCTCCCTCCCTGCGTTCCCTACCGATCGCCTCCTCCTCCTCCTCTCCCTCCTCCTCCATTCCTTTTCTGTATCAGTAACTCCTCCCTGTCGCACCCCGAGGCCGGTCGAATTGGGGACTGGGCGTTTCGCCTGAGACGTCCTTATTCTGTATGACCTTGAAACGCAAACGTTGGCAACAGTTTCACACGTGGATGGCGGGTGGTCTTCAACATGTGGCTCTCGCCTTAGCGCTGCGCGCATTCATTCAACACATTTCAAGAGTCTCACGGATTGAGGGCGGGCCGTTTTCAAAATGTGGCTATCGCCATAGCGCCGCGCACATTCGTTCAAACATTTGTAAGAGTTTGACGGGTCAAGGGCGGGCCGTTTTCAAAATGTGGCTCTTTCTTCAGCGCCGCGCACATTCACGTGTTCATCATTCGCAGCGGCTTCACGGATTGAGGACGGTTCGTTTTCAACATGTGATTCTCGTCTTAGCACCACGCACATTCGTTGACACCGATTGCAACAGTTTCGCGGGTTTCCATGCTCAACCTACCAGAAACGGTGCTTTGGAGGGGTTCAGGATCTGTGAAGGTGGAACAGTTACGTTGATTCGCGGTGTTGAAGTCCCAGGAATGATGTTCGGGCGCGAGTCAGGATCGCCAAGACGCCGCAGTCAGGATGATTTGTGGCGTTAGAGTCCCGTGATTGGTGCTTTGGCATTCTCCAGGGTCTTCAAACGGTTGCCGTCCAGCGTTGCAGTTCCCTCAGTGGAAACGAACCCGTGTAGGAGCCTATGAAGAGGGAGCTGGGAGGGAGGGTTTATTCCAACATCGTTGAGGAGTCTTGGGTTTACACTGGTCCTCCTCCTCCTCCTCCTCCTCCTCCCCCTCCTCCCCCTCCTCCCCCTCCTCCTCCTCTCCTCTGCTTCTCTTCTCTGCGGTTCTCTGTGGAAGCCGCCTTCCATCTTTCAAGCTATGATGGATGCGGCAACGTGCGGCTCACACTTCAAGGAAGTGCCCAGTGTCAGCCCGGTTTTCAAAATGAACCGCCCTGCTTCCGTGGAGCTGCTGCGCATTTTTGATTCAAGACGCTTCGCGTTCACCGCCCGCCATTCCAGTTCTTGCCCGAAGAGACGCAGACAGCTCCACGACTGGGTGACAACAATCTGGAAATAGTGAAGGATTCCCCATCATGCGTGGTTTGTCTTTTTCCTGCGCTCGATTTCTCGTTCATCCCACCGCATATTTGGTCCAGGTGTGCCGTGTGGCTGATCGATGTTGAATTCGTCGATAAATCATCGGCCCGCCATCCCTTCCGCCCCGTGGCCCCCGTCTGCTTATTCCGATCGACCGACCGACCGTGCCTCTCCACCTCAGCCCCGTGCCCCCCATTTGTTTATTCCGACCGACCGACCGACCGTGCCCCTCCTCTCCACCCCGTGGCCCTGTCTGCTTATTTCGACCGACCGACCGGCCAGCCCCCCTCCTGCCCGACCGTGCCCTCCCGCCCCTTTGCTCCCTCCGCCCCGTGGCCCCCGTCTGCTTATCCCGACCGACCGACCGACCGTGCCCCTCCCCTCCGCGCCGTGGCCCCCGTCCGCTTATTCCTACCGGCCGAGCGTCCGTGCCTCCCCCCTCCGCCTCGAGTCTCCCGCCGACCGACCGTGCCCCCCCCCCCCCTCCCTGGCCACCCCCCTGTCCCGCCCCTTCCGGCCCGTGGCCCCCCCGCCTGCTTATTCCGACCGACCGACCGTGCCCCCCCCGCTCGCTCAAGATTGCCCCAAGACAGCCCAAACGAGCCCCAGACGGGCCCACACAAGGCCCCCAATGAGCCCCAGAGACGCCCAAAAGCACCATGGCCCCGAAGAGTTCTAGAGACGCGACCAGCTCACAGTGGCATAACAAGCTCTTCACGCCATAGCTCAGCGTGTCGCAGCCCTCGCGCGCTTCCCCGAAACTGCCACAGGTTGGGCGCCACCTCCATCTCCCGGTGTCCCACATCCGTGATTGTATGATCCTTGGCACGCGTGCCTCGCGCCCACAAGGAAGGAGGGAATGGGGGAGGAGGAGGCCCGAGGGACGGTGAGTCGACCTGCCTGCTCGACGAGGCTCGGAGCCGTACGTCCGACCTGGAAGCCCCGAGGAGATGTCGGCCGACTGGGACAGGTACTGCCCCGAGCCGGTGTTCTTCCTGCAGGACACAGGGCCCGATGAGGAGGGTGAGGGGAGGCAGGGGGGGAGGCGGGCAATGGTGATGCTGCTGATGATGATGCTGCTGATGCTGATGCTGATGCTGATGCTGATAACGGTGGTGTTGCTATTGCAGGTGATGAGGGGGATGCGGATGATACTGATGACGATGATGATGATGCTGATGATGATGATGCTGATGATGATGATGCTGATGATGATGATGCTGATGATGATGATGATGATGATGATGATGATGATGATGATGTGTTTCTGAGGATGTTGATGATGGCGATGGTGATGACGATGCTAATTATGGTGATGATGAATGTGATGCTGATGCTGATGGTGTTGCTCTTGCTGCTGATGATGATAAATATCATGCTGATGACGGTGATGTTGCTGTTGATGATGCTGAGGAGGGTGCGGATGAGAATGATGATGACGATGCTGATGTTGGTGATACTTATTTTTCTGATGGTGATGCTGATGCTACTGATGAGGATGATTATGATGATGCTGATGTTAATGATGTTGCCTATGATGCTGATGATGCTGATGCGACTGCTTCTGCTGATGGTCATTATTTTTCATGATGTTGATGATGGTGGTGATGGTGGTTGGGAGATGGTGGTGGTGATGGTGGCGCTAGGGGTGATGATGATGTAGATGGTGCTGATGACTATGATGCTATTGCTGCTGATGTCGATGATGATGATGAAGATGATGCTGATGCTGATGATGATGATGTTGAGCATGACGATGATGTTGACGACGACGACGATGATGATGAAGATGATGATGATGATGATGATGCTGATGATGCAGATGATGCTGGATGCTGATACTGATGCTGATGCTGATGATGGTGATGATGATGCTGATGGGGATGACGCTGATGACGGTTATGGTGATGAGGATGACGATGATGTTGCTGATGATGCTGCTGATGATGATGCTGATCTAGTGATCATAATACTGATGACGGCGATGCTCATGATGATGATGACCATGTTGTTGCTGATGATGAGGAGGATGCTGATGGCGCCGATGATGATGAGGAGGATGACGATTCTTCATGTAATGGCGCTGCTGATGGTGATGATGATGATGATGATGATGATGATGATGATGTTGACGATTCTGATGCTGATGATGACGATGATGACGATTTTGACGATGATGGTGATACTGGCGTTGCTGACTGTGGTGTCGGTGACGATGGTGATGCCGATTCTGGTTGTGGTGATTGTGGTGATGGTTGTGACGATGATGATGCTGATGCCGATGACGATTCCGATGACGATGCTGCTGATGATGCTGATGATGGTGGTGGTGGTGTTGATCATGATGATTATGACGATGATGATGCTGATGATGCTGATGATGACGAGGTCTATGCTGCTGATGATGATGATGCTGACGCTTATGACGATGATGCTGATGATGATGCTGATGATGACGAGGTCTATGCTGCTGATGATCATGCTGATGCTGATGCTTACGACGATGATGATGCTGATGATTCTGATGATGATGATGATGATGCTGATGCTGATGCTGATGCTGCTGATGATGATGACGATGATGCTGATGATGCGGATGATGATGATGATGATGATGATGATGATGATGATGATGATGATGATGATGATGATGATGATGATGATGATGATGATGATCATAGTAGTGGTGATGATGATGATGATGCTGATGATGATGATGATGATGCTGCTGCTGCTGCTGATGATGATGATGATGATGATGATGATGATGATGATGATGATGATGATGATGATGATGATGTGGGTGAGGGTGAGGGTGAGGGTGAGGGCGAGGGCGAGGGTGAGGAGGAGGATAAGGATGAGGAGGAGGAGGAGAGGAATATGAGGAGGATAATTATGATGATGGTGGTCCAAGTCATCTAAGACGGACTAGATCTCTAGCTCGATAGCCGCCCGAACCCGAATGCTTCGCCGCCTCGCGCGCAGTGTCAGGCCGTGCCCAATTGCACCAGTGGGGACCCGCACTGCCACAGGTAGTTGCGCCTGCCACATCGGCCGCGGCCAAGTGCCGCTGCGTGAGAGAAGCAGCACGGCGTACTATTTGCCTCGAGGAATACGCACACAGCTCGGAGCCCGAGTGCGAACACTACCTCAGCTGGGCTGGGAAGGCCGCGCACACCCAAGAGGGGCTGCGAAGCAGCTACATGTACAGAAGCTGGCGGCCCTGGTGGCCTGCCAGATCAGGCCCTGTCGCCGATTCAAGTGGAAGTGAAGAGTGAGGCGAAGGCTTAGCCATGACACGACCGCAGCTCTACCTTCACCTGCGGGCATGGGCCGTCTCCCGCAGCCTCGAGGCCGAGGCGGAACAGCGGGCCTCCGTGCCGACCTCGACCTCGTCCTTGAGCCCGTCCATGTCCGCGTCGAAGGAGCGTGTTGCTTTATTGCTTGAGGCATAACGGGCGTTATGGCCTCCGGCTCCCCCCCCCCCCAATAGCGTAATGCCCCTCCCCCCCCCCACCCAGTGCGCCCAGGGCACCGCCGCCGTGCGCATCGGGACCCGCATAGGCGTCCGCATAGGAATCCGCACAGGGGTCTGGTCCGCAGTCGTCGTCGTCGTCGTCCTCGTCGTCGTCGTCGTCGTCGTCGTCGTCGTCGTCGTCGTCGTCGTCATGGTCGTGGTCGTGGTCGCTCGTCGCTCGTCGCTCGCCGCTCGTCGTCGTCGTCGTGCGCGCGGACGCCGCTGGAGCTTTTTCCTTTTATTCCAGGCCGATGACGGCCGTCAATTTGGGGGTAAGGGGGCCGATGACGTCACGTTCCGCGCCGGCGGCGTCTGGGAATGCCCAGGAATGACCGAGGACGGGTAGCAGCAATATGTCGGTGGCGAGCTGCACCACAGCGCCTGTGTACACAACAGTGCCTGCGTGCACCACAGCGCCTGTGTACACCACACCGCCTATGTACACAGCAGCCGCGTGCAACACAGCGCCAGTGTGTGCCGCAGTGCCTGCGGGTACCACATTGCTTGTGTACACCACAGCGCCTGCGTACACCACGTCGGCCGTGTGCAGCACAGCTCCAGTGTACACCGCAATGCCTGCGTGCACTACAGCGCCTGTGGACACCACGGCTCCTGTGTGCACCATAGCAACCGTGTGCAACATGACATCACTGTTGCAGATCGAGTTTTAGAAGGAATCCTTATGACATAATGGAGCGCCTGTGGATTCCACAGAAAACTGTTTTTACGTAGGATTTGGGAAGGAATCGTTATGGAACAAGTAGCGCCGCTAGAATCTACGAGTTCTCCAGAATCCTCCCGCATTATCCTAACTCCCCCCATCTGCGTCCAGCAGGCTTCAACAAAAATCAGCCGTCCGAGAACCAAGTCCACTGATTCAATCGAAGAAACTGCGGTGCACGCTGACATGCGCACGCGCGCTGCAGCGCCGACCCGCACGACAGATGTGAAGGGTGAGGGAGGAGGGGGAGGAGGAGGAGGAGGACGAGGAGGAGGAGCAGGAGGAGGAGGAGGAGGAGGAGGAGGAAGAGGAGTAGGAGGAGGAGGTGGAGGAGAAGGAGGAGGAGGTGGAGGAGGAGGAGGAGGAAAAGTAGGACGGAAAAGCGTCGCACTCGATTCTCAGTATTTCGATGGCGTGGCGTTTACCTCTCCGCAGCAGATCCTCACCTACATGCTTCTTCTGCCTGTCCTGTGCACGCAGGCAAATTGGTGTACACCAGAGCTGCGTTGCACGCGTATGCTAGACAGGCGCTGTGGTGTGCACGGGCGCTGCGGTGCACGCAAGCATTGTGGTGTACACAGGCGCTGTGTTGCACATAGTTGTTGCGGTGTACACTGGCGCTGTGGTGCACGCAAGCACTGCGGTGTGCACAAGCGCTGCGTTGCACACGGCTGTTGCGGTGTACGCAGGCGCTGTGGTGTACACGCGCGCTGTGGTGCACGCGAACGTTGTTGTGTACATAGGCGTTGTGGGGCAGTTCGCCACCTACATGCTGCTCCTACCTGGCCTCGGTTATCCCTTGGCGTTTTTGTGCGCCGCCGGCGCGGAACGTGACGTCATCTGGGGGGGGGGGCGGGGCCGATGACGGCCGCGATCGCGGAAACAAAAAGGGCTCCTGTGGTGCCGGGGCCACACGGCGGGGGGGTGGGGGCGTTACGTTAACCCCCCCCCGCCCGCCCGCCTCCCCATTCCCCATAACGCCCGTTATCGCCGAACGTAAAGAAATGCGTTTAAGGCCACGCGCCGTGCCCCAGCCGAAGCGTCCTCGGCTGCATGCTGGGACCCCAGCGCCAAAGCCAAGCGCTCCTGGATAGCCTTTACCACCCCGAGGGCCGCTTTCAGCGTGTCGCCCATGCGGTCATCGAGGATGGGGTCGATCTCAGCCGAGACCAGTCGCTGAAGCCCACCGCTGGGCTGCTTCGCGCTGTGCGACTGGGGATCGTGAGCCATGGAGTCGTGCTGCTGGTGCCCGTCGTGACGCTCAGGGGCGTTAGTGTCCTCCTGGATGTCCATATCCTCCTCGCTCCTGTCCTCATCCTCCTCGTCGGCCGTCAGGTTGGGCTCGGGCTCGGTGTTGGGCACGACTGCGACAAGGGGCTCTGTCTCCTTCGCCCCGTCCCCGTCGAACCGCCCCGCCAAAACCGCGGCGGGCTTCCACCAGCGCGCGCACGAGACGCAGAGGGCCACGCTGGGTTGGCCAACGTTGCGGGCACCTTTCGGGGGCACGAAGCGGGCGCCAGCAGGCAGGCTGTGCCCGCGCCTGCGAACGACGACCCAGCTGCATGGTACTGCGTCGTAGGCCGCTCCTCCTCCTCCTTCTCCTCCTCCTCCTCCTCCTCCTCCCTCCTCCTCCTCCTCCTCCTCCTCCTCCTCCTCCTCCTCCTCCTCCTCCTCGGCGGTCCTCCTGCCTTAGGCAGCTGGCGGTGCGGGCCAGGCGCCGCGGGCTGCCATTGGCGCCGTGCGCGTCTGGACGGGCGGC